TGTCTGATGACTCCCTTTTTTATCTCTGTATAATAACCTTTAATAAAGCCCTTTCCCACAAATGAAGTTGCTTTCTATACCTGCCTGTTTACTGCATATAATTTAATTTTTTTAAAATCAGAAATGAAAGAAATTTTTACATTTATATTTTCAGAATTACCCACCCTGTCATAACCTGACTATAAGAATGAAAAGTTAGGTTTTTAAGAAATTTAACTACGTTTTTTGAATAATATTCTACAATCATCATTAACTTGTGACTTCATTTATTTTATTTTATTTTATTCATTTTTTTGGAGAGGTGGGGGGGGGGGGTATGGCGTACACTCCTCGGATGGCTTGTATACATGTATCTGTTTGAATGGAATGTAGCGGAGGAAGCCGAGGATTTCCGACTTATTATGCATAATGAGATCTATCTATCAAAAAGTACAAAAAGCAAATAATTGAAACTTTTGCGTACAATCACATGCTGAGAATAAATTGAAGGAAATTTCTACCGATGACAGCGTGTATATTGTATGGATTTTCAGGGGGTGAGGCCCATTTCACACCATCTAAACATATATTGTCTTGTTCTCATTGACACCGAATATGAATTTAACTGATTATTTAATTTACTTGTGTGTAACTGTGTATGAACTTCTATATTCAAGTAATGGTTAGATGTACATGTATATCTTCAAGTTAGAATGTCATCCGGGACCCTTGACTTGGTCAATAAAATATTGCATTAAACAACGTACCAACTTAAAGAAAGGGTGGCACATAAAAAAACTTAAACATGTCAATTATATGTTAACCATTTTATCATACTCTGAAAGTCGAATTTAACGTCTGACTTTGAACAGATTGTGTTGGATCAAACCTAGATATATACGTAACCTAGGTATTTTTATCGGTATTTTTTTAATTGCAGAACAACTTTGTTCAGAACACGTTTTTCTTTTTAAATTGTACAACACACAATATTTGTCTTTATCAAATTGTACAACTGTAAGCACTGAAGTAATGTGTCTTAGTTACAAGCACAACGTGCCGGGCTCATTTTCGAAGAAGACCCCCCCCTCCCCATTTCCCCAATGTACAAAAACTTTATTTCTTTCACAATGTGTGAACTGGTATAATTAATTTTATAGCATCTTAAATCATTGTCATACAGGCAAGTAGCATCAATGGGGGTGGGGTAAACACGTTTATTCTATTTTCCGCATTTTGATATAATGTTCAATTGAAAAAAAATAAAGCGGAATCGTTTTTAAGAGAACTGTGAAATGACTGATACGCAAAAATTACAATTCCTGAAAGTTGCACCCCAATCACCCCTTAAATTTAGTTCAGGCAAGTACCATAAAAAGTACATGTAGGTACTGCCTAAAGGTTTATTTTTGTGGAGGTGGGTTTGCTGATTATACCGAAAGAGAAATAACATTACTTTGACCGGGATCAATCCTTAAGACCTTACTACATGAACAGTGATGTCAGATATTCTTTTTACCCCCTTATGAGCAATCGTAATTACTCGGTCAATTCCGTGAACAATGAATAACTTCTCTTGGAAAATGGCATAGTTGTTACGAATACCTTGCGAGATGATTTCAGATTAGGAACTTTTTCGGGGTTTTTTTTATGGGCAGCGGTCTGTCCCTCGTCAAGGTACATTCAAATACAAATTTCCAGTGATTAAAGCATGATTATGTTGATGATGTAGAAAAAAGGATGAGATGATGTTGCTGAATACACGTATAAGACCACATAAATGCTAAAATTTGGAAAATCGAATATTGAAGAAACTTTCAAATACATCTAGAAAAAATTATTTCTAACTAATACAAAAGGATGATAAGTAATGACGTTTCAATTATCAATGACGTTGTGTGACGTTATGTAACGTTTTATAGCGTTATCTTGTTAGCACTTCATTGCTTTCATTTTGAGTTTTTATAAGAATTTAAAAGGTATATTATGAAAAATTTGGTATCAGTATATTCAGAAAAACTATCTCTTTCAGAAACGGTCAAAAACCGATTTTCGAAAATTTGGTTACGAAGGTCCCTTTTCGCTTGACGCAACTCAAATATATCTATGTGCAATTTATGTTTCATTCCTCTTATCTACCATCTCTTGATTTGATTTGATAGGACTTAAACCTTTTATTTATAAAATTCAAAAGAAATATTGTTTTAACTCTTACTTAATCATCAATAGGTTCAGTCTTGTATTCCACCACGTCTCAATTTGAAATCTACATCCTTTATTTCCTCAAGAGATTGTAAAACTGTTACTTCCAAACTCTTCAAACACATTCAAATCTTACAATACTTAGATATTAACATGAAATACATGTATGTAGGTAATGAACAGCATCCAATCTCAAAACTCCATTCAAACAACAAATCAGGAGCAGAGCAAATACGGATTTCCTAAACAACAAAGGAGGGATCAGCTGCCCGGGAAGAGAAAGCGTCCCTTGTTGACCGGTGTCACACACGGTGCCGTGTGCATCTTTTCACGATCCGCAAAAAAGAAATATTAGCATACAATTCTGTGTAAAAATGATCTAATAATTGGTATGAAAAAAAACCGTCAGTTGGCATTCGACTTAATAGACTGTACTTGCTGATAAAGGGCATTGTATCGACCATTGAACTTGCGAAATGATGACTTTTAATTAAGACTTTAATTAAGTGCTGTCTTCCGTGTAACTTCAGGTTCGTCAATTTTGAACAACGAAAATGATTAAGCTCTGCCCATTCTGTGACGTAAGCGGTCCAACATCTCATCGACCGGTCCATCATATACCTTTGAGAATTTGTTCCTATACAAATCTATACGAAAAAAAGTTTAACATTCTAATGTTTTGCTGAGCGGGCATAAATTTCATAGTCTGATAAATTCAGGTATGAAGCATGGCGGAGGGAGGGGGAGGGGGTCCAGACATAAAAAGTACCATAAAAAGTCTTCTTATCCCCATAGAAAATGTTCATTCAAAATCGTGTCCCCTCCAAACTCTTGATGCAGTATAATCCAAAGGCGCTCCCCCATGTAATTCTGTAAATGACGAAAGATAAGTATATATGGTCTACGCCCTCTATGCTATAAAATCTTTTGTTTTTATAGTATAGAGTGGATAGACCTATATACTTATCTTTCGTCATTTACAGAATTACATGGGGAGCGCCTATGGTATATTCAAGTCAAATTCCTTTTTTTGTTTTTGTTTTGGCAATAAACAAACTGAAAAAAAACATCAAACACCATGTGTTGCCAAATTTCATTGACATTACAAAAGAATAATTCAACATAAAGTTGGTAAATGTGAAAACCATCCATTCTATTGAAGTACTTCCATTCTAAAAAAGTTGTCCTTCTTTTGTTATATTTGTTGAATTTTTGAACTCGATCAATTTTAAATAGTTCTAAACGAAAGCTTGAAGAATTCCCATGCAAAGTTTTGAATTAAATTTCATAATGAAAAAATACGGATGTTAATTATCATCAGATCATATTTGTTAACATATACATGTATTACACGTACTCACAGGCACTTTGGAGATGGACACCCCCTCCCCTTTCCATTTCATCAACTATTATTCGATAATGTAACCCTTTTGTCTATCTTGAACCTGTCGAAAAGATATATTTAATTTAAACAACTTAGAAAGACAAAAGTGTAGCATATCGATATCATTCAAAGTGCATACCGGTATTAGAATACAAAAATAGGAAAAAGTGACTCGATGCCAGATTTAAGAAGAAACAGAGAATCTATATTCCCCGCTTAAAGAAAAAAGAAGAGCATTCGCGGATGGGGTGGGGGTGGGGGAACGAGGGGGCATTTTAAGAATGGCGGGCGGGCCAATGGGAGTTATTGTATACAATTTTATTACAAAAACTCAAAAGCTTCCTGAGATATCGCCGGGAAATGAAAGATTTAACACACACACCCACAAACCCACACAGAATGATTTGATGACCTTGACCTATGGCCTTTTTAACCTCAAAATCAAGAATGGTCTTCCATAGGCCATAGGGAGTTGTGGTATAAAATTTCACATCAAATACACAAAGGTATCTCTAGATAAGCTCGGAAAAGAAAGTGATACAAATGACAGATTAATTTATGACTTGACCTTGGCCTTTTGACTTCAAGAGTCTGCCTTCGGCCAAGCTACTCCGTTATCATGAAATCGTAAAGTAGATGTTTCAAAATGAAAGCAAAACAATTTAGTTTTCATTTTCATATTTCCCTTTTATATGCCATGTAACTGGAAAAGTTTTGAAGTTATATCTATAACGTCATTACCGTCTTCCTTGGAAGACGGTATTGTATAGTTGAAGTTTTTTAGTCTTCGGACTATGCACTTCCTCTCTTTTGTGATTGGTAGAAATTGCATGATGAGAAAATTTTCAATTATTTCATTGGATGAAATGCTGTTCAGGCAAGGGAGATAACTTTCTGATGATCTATTTTTCGTACGACTTAACAATTTTGCAACATTTCCAATCTTAAAAAAATGACAAAACGAACAACAAAATCAGCAGTAATTATTTCTTAACAACTTGATATTTTTTATAGCAATAAATAAAAAGGTCTCCTTAATTTCATTATAAATAAAATTTGATAGTTATTGCTTGCAGGCTTTACAATTTGTTATTATTCTTTTCCCCTTTCTTGTTTGAAGAGTGAATGGGAATCAGCCGAGGTTTGCCGAAAGCTCTCGGCCAGTCAAAGTTTACGGAGATGACCGAGCGACAACCATGGTAGGGCTAATGCCCGTAAAAAGCTAATTTAGAAATACAAAATCAAGAAATTCAAAAGAATTATACGGCCTGTTAAGTGTAAATCTGTTTACTGTTTAAAATTGTTGCTAAAGACGGTTAGCTTTTTTGAAAAGCTCTACTTGTAATTATTTGCCGTCATAGTACTATGACGTTTGAAGGCGTCATTAGTATTATGACGTCATAATAGTTTATTTTGTACAGAGCGCGATTTTGTTGTCAAGATAATAAAATGGGTTTGTTCCAAAGTTGCTTGAGAAAAAATAATAAAATTGGCATTCTATATGACGAGGAGGAAACCGCTTACAAAAAGATCGAAAAGGTCAACGAAGAAATGGCGCATGAGAAGACTGAAATTCAAACTCTCCCAGAGATGATGTTTTGTGTCACACCGATGGAAGCCCATGGGGACGTCACTCATCCTCCAGATGTCACTAAAAAGACTGTAATGATGAATATCAATTACAAATCAAGTGTGCCTAAGTTGCCTCCTATTCCTGGACAAGTTAAGACGATTCTAATTCAGGATCTAGATGACGAAAACGATTACCTTAAATGGGAAGGTACGTTATATACTATATACGACAAAATCAGTCTTCACTGGCCAATTTAATTAAAAAAAACATTTTCGTGTAATAATTGATATCTTTTTTTTTTTTTTGCAGAAGAAACTAAGAGAGTTCTGACGGAGCATGGTACTCTTAAGAAGAAAGATAAGTTGTCAGAACAAAGAAGAAGACAGCTTCTCCGAAGAAATTCAAATTAAAAGAAACTTCATGAAATGTTGTGAACAGAAGAGACAGATGCTATCCGGCGGGACCTGCTGTTTTCTAAAATAGAATGAATTTGAAGTTTGAACATTCTTTAGTTGGCTTCAGTTGTGAATGATATGTTGAAGGAGAGATATCAACATGTATATAGACTGATTCTTCGCAATATAAACTTCATATGGCGTATTCTGGTTTTTTCTTGCTCCTATATATTTTTTTTATTGTTGAAAATTTTCATGATGTGGATAATAAACACAGTTCTGCTGTTCATTGCAAACTTATTTGATATATACATTCATTTTTTATTTAACAAAAAATTGCTTTCAGATACCTGGGGTAATATTTTCATCAGAATCTGGGATTAAATTCCCTATCCAAAAATCACAAGGAGTAAAAATGTTGCATGCAATTAGATTTGCCTCATCATGGCTCATGTTCTATTGAACTTCCTTTTGTACATTCAGAAATGTAATAAATAATTGTTTTTACTATATGCTTAAGTAATTTTCATCTCCGATTGGTTGAGCATGTCGAGATCCAACATTTCAGGAAGAAGCTTATTCAGAGAATATGTATCCTCCGCATAAAAAAGAAGAGTACTACGAGGATGTAGATGGTCGAAGAGGGGAGGGTGGTACTTTAAGTACTTTAAGGTGGGCGGGCTAATGACTGATAAAAAGATATACAGACTGACGGACAGATATGACTAAAATTAATATCCTCAAGGTCTTTCATATTTCACATGTGTATTTCTTATGACAAGGTCTCTTGAGTACCATTATTCAAAAATTTTGGCCAAGGTAAAAGTTTGGAATATTTTTTTTTATTAATCTGAGTCAAACTTCACAGTCACGGTCAAAACCTTGTTATTGTCACAAGAAAGATGCAAGTGAAATATGAAAACCATAGCTTTCTCTTATCAAAAGTAATTGACAAAGTTAAAGTTTTGGCGGAAAGACAGCTAGATAGACGGGCAGCAAGACGGACAGGACAAAAACATATACTTGTGTATGTACCCCCGAATCTTGGATTCCGGGTACCTAAAATGTCCAAAGTAAATATATCTATGTGCAATTTATGTTTCTTTCCTTTTATCTACCATCTCTTGATTTGATTTGAGAGAGCTTTTACCTTTTGTTTATCAAATTCAAAAGAAATATTGTTTTATAACTCTTATTTTTTCGCCCAGTCTTAATCATCAATAAGTTCAGTCTTGTATTCCACCACATCTCAAGTTGAAATATACAACCTTTATTTCCTCAAGATATTCCAAAATTGTTGCTTCCAAACTCATCAATTATATTCAAATCTTACAGCGCTTAGATATTAGACATGAAATACATGTATGTAGGTAACGAACAGCATCCAAGCTCAAAAGTCCATTCATATAACAAATTAGGAGCAGAGCAAATACGGATCTCCTAAACAACAAAGGTGGGATCAGCTGCCCGGAAAGAGGAAGCATCCCTTATTGACCGGTGTCACACGCGGTGCCGTGTACATCTTTTTATGATCGGCAATCAGAAATATTAGTATATAATTCAGCGTAAAGATGATCTAATAATTGGTATGAAAAAACGTCAGTCGGCATTCGACTTAATAGACTGTACTTGCTGATAAGGCCATTGTATCGACCGTTGAACTTGTGAAACGATTACTTTAATCAATACTTTAAAGTTTAAACAAAATCAGATATTCTAGTTTCTTCTTGTAGTTTCGTCATGGATCAAGAGGAAAATCTTAGAGTGAATGAGTTTGGATGATTTTACCCATAGTGCTTACTATTGGACTGTTAAGAGAAGGTACAGACAGCTCAATATTTAGAACTACTTTAAGATTGATCAATGAGCACTAGATCCATCCTGTTTGGATATTCATTGGTTTGGGGAACAAAGGCCATCTTTTAGTTTTATTTTATATTTCTATGGATCTTCTACAATGTTGTACAGTATTATACTCAGATGACCGCTAAGACCCTTAGGTCTCTTGTTTGAAATTTAAGTCTATGACAACTCATTAATTTCATTTTTTTTTTAAATTTCTACAATATTTTTTAAAGCAATTCTAACTTCAGTATATCTTCCATCCATTAAAGGACGACCTCCAATCGGGATGACTATAGAGATTCCCGACATGACTTTCAGTAGGATGCGTTCGGACAAACACCACGTCTCCCTGATTGACCTCTACCACCACCACTCCTGTTGTAGTTCTTATATTTGTTGCTCCCCCGCCGGATGTATACATGGCTGCAACAGCATTAGAGTTGACAACAACCTACGAATAAATATAGCTGCCCGGCTTGCAATACAGATTCCACATAAACACATACACACCATGTTGTGGAGCGGTGAATATTCCGGAATATGGATTATAATGGTTTCCTACGTTTGTTACTATGCTGTCGAATTTAATGGTGTGGTCTTTTGAGATCTCTGTTTCATATATGGAAATAAAGGCAGAAAATGCTACACAATTTACAGCTGATCGAGGCTTTGTTGTGTGTACACCTGAAATTCCAAAAAAAAAAAAAAAATCATTACTAAAGGAGAAATTTTTTTTCTTCATATTTCTTGTGTTCTTTGTCTTTCTATAAGGTCTGTGTTAACTCCGTTCCAATTTTATATTGTTTGATGGACTTCCGAGCTTTAACTTTATATTTCATTTAAAGATAAATTAAATTATCATAGATTAAATATATGTATGACTGTATCTATCATTATGTGGTGGTATCAGATTAACTTTTTCATATTATACTTAAAGCAAGGTCAGGTCAAGGTCATTACCCCCCCCCCCCCCCCCCCCCCTCAGGACAAAATAAGAACTTTGAAAAAATTACAATGTTTATTAATGTTGCCAATCATGCGATGCCTACCTCTATTTTAAACGATTAATCAATATATTATTTTTTTGCATAAAAAGATTTAAGGGTTTATCAGATGATATTAGTTAATTGACATAAATAATTTAACTAAATGGATATTGGCTTATCTAAATTTTCTCTTATGTGCTTAAATATTTGGGAGATATTAGTTATTTTTAAATGCTTCGTATATTAAAATTTTTCTTATTTTCATAATTGGTAAAGTTTGAAAAGTTTATATGAAAAAAAAAATTAAAAGGTTTTGATCATTTATGGAGGGAGAAAAATTCTCAAATTCATATTTAGTTGGTTAATTTTGCAAAATCATTCTTATTTGAAATATTTTTAAACCTTATTTCAGTATAATTAATTTTACTAACATCTGAAAATTTCGTCAAGTCTTATGTGATATTTTAACCTAATTCATTGCTATATAGTTATTTTGAGAAGCAAAAAGAAGATATTTTCAGACGCCACCCTTCCACCTAAAATATAGTCCTTGCTATAGACTTCAAACTGTTTACCATTTCTATTTAAAATTGTAAAATTGTAACGAGGAAAGAAATAATATGTATGACATGCCAAATTACCCGGTAAAAAAAATGAGCTAAACATAGTTTCCCAGTCGATAAACTAGGTTTATCGTTGTAAACTATAGTTTACGGATTGTAAACTATAGGTAACAACATTAATTTATATGTTACATCTGTAAACCATAAATAGTTAACGCGATTATCTATGTTTCAGAACCGTAAACTATAATTTGCGATTGCAAAACATAGATTATCTGATAAATACAGTTTCACGATTTGTATACTGTGGTTTACAACTCTTAACGATCTGATAAATATAGTTTCACGATTTTTGATACTATGATTAACATCTCTTAACTATAGTTCACGATTATAAATTACAATTTACTTTACAGAGGTTAATCTAGGTTTATCAACAAAATCTTTACAGATTACTATTACAGATAGATAAACTTAGATTAGCATTCGTAAACTATAGTTTACAACCGTTAAATATAGTTTTACAGATGAAAACTATAGTTAACGAATTTTTAACTATAGTTTACAGTTTGTAAACTATAGTTCACAGTTTGTAAACTATAGTTTACATTTGATAAACCTAGTTTTTCAACTGTGAAACTGTGTTTTGCTCATTTTTGTGAATTTGGCGTGCTATAAATATGATCTCGTAAAAATCCTGTACAACTTACTATCACATATAAACAAACATATGTCATCCAGTCAGAAATAAGACGACCCCCTAGCGTTATATTCTCTATTGCGACGGTGATGACTTGTAAAACTCCCTATCAGGTATGAGTCATGACGTATGCATTGTAGATCAAGTTCAACATATCAAAACACACATTAATCTACACTTTTATATGGAGATTACATACTAAAAAGGTAACGAAAATGAAAAGATTCTCACACACACACAGCCAAAGAAAATCTGAGAATAACATAAAACACTGATCACTGCAGTTTGCAGAGGTAGGATCACATGCCAAAGAAGAGCAAGCTTCCCCTGTCGACTGATTGACCTCGCCGTGAGTCCAATATATTGATCAGGATATGAATAAAATGAAATGGATTTCAATCTGTTACAGTAATATCTGAAGCAATTCTGTTATAATCATTTAGTCGCCAATTGTCGAGTGATTCGCAACATCCTAAGAATGCGTATATCGAACCAGCAATTTATATGTACGGTTTTGATATAATTGCTTTTGAGAAGACCAGAACAAATTTTTTCCCTTGGAGATGAATGTGGAGGGAAACGAAAAGTAGATGTTAATATTTCACCAGCAACTACAGTATGTTGCCGGGATATACAAGTAATAACTGACATGAGAACAAGTTAAATTTTTATATTTTAAGATAAATGAAATAGATAACTTTTTTTATCGTATATGTTTGCTTGCTATAGTATTCCATGGAAGATCTGGTTGTACAATTCTCTCACCTTTCAAAAGACCTTTCTCCTGAAATGAATTATATTTCTTGTTCAGGAATGGATTTGACTTAACAATGGCTGGTTGGTTTTCGGTCTCATTCAAGGAAAAATTCTGCTGTGCTTTCAAGAATATTTGGCCCTTTGGGTTTGAACTGGACGAAGAGATTCCATCGAGATTTTCTTTTAGCAAATCAGTTGGGCTTGTAGACATTTTTATTCTTTTGCGAAACATTGTGTTAACGTCTTTTTTCTTCTCAGATATCTCGTGGTAATTTTCCATAGCTGTTATTCTCGCATTTAGTTGTCGGTTTGTAGACAGCAATTTAGAGATCGTTGCCTTAACATTGTCCATTTGTATGTTCGAG